CAATTCAACAATATATTGTACAAATTTAATCAATTATAGACTACAAGAGAGAATCAACCTCCCGAAAATTACTACTCCCAAACTAGATTCTCTCAAATTAAATCACAAAATTCAAAACAAAATTACCTCAAAACTTTCAAGTTTGATCGAAAATTTCTAAAGACTTTAAGTTTGATCAAACTAGATATCATCGTCTCTCCATCGATCGCCTCATTCAAACACTAGACCAACAACTTCTGAAGTAGCTAAAGAGAAATTGTTAGCTAGATGTAGCAAGTAAAAATGGAGTTATGAAAAATAGATAGAGAAATATCTAGTTTGTTGAAACCACATTTTAAGGAGAAACTATCTAAAATAGCTAAAAAGGGAAATTTTAGCTAGTCTTTTAGAGTTTCTCTAAGTAAAAAATTTATACTCACTTCTCACATCCTCTATAAATTTCACCAGAAGACGTAGCAACAATAGAAAGGCATAAAATTTGAGTACTTCTCATTCTTTACATATTTGCAGAGTTTAGGAGTCTTCGATAATGATTTTTTGCACTTTATCTCCGTTAATCACCTTCTTGTCCTTTGCAGGATATGTGATCCACGACAAAGCCCATCATGTTTCAATTGGTTGTTTCGGCTTTATGTAGAGTTGGAAGATCAGGGAATTAGTTTACTAGAAAGGTTATTTAACCTATTTAAAAGGTTCAAATCAAAAGATTGTTTCAAGAAATATTCTAAGCTTGCTTTGTTCTTTTCTTTAGATAATCGGATTCAACAAGCATATTGAACATGTTAACGTTGCATTTTAATTTGTTTATCCTATTAGGAGTTTGTAATTTACTGGATGAGTCGTTTATTTCTTTTGCTACAGCTTTGGCAAGCTAATGCTTTTAAAAAAAAAGAAGGATGTGAAGATGAGGTTCTTGTGAATGTGTTAGCTTAGAAATTAAATTTGAAAAGGAAAAAAAAAACTGCTATAAAATGATTCTATCAGGTGTTTAGGCAAATACATCATTGTTGATGTTGTTCAAAAGTTCATAGATTATGTCACTAAGTAATCAAAAGAAGCTAAGTAGATAAATGAAACTTGGAGTAAGAGGAACCCATATGTAGACATAAAGAAAATCGTTACTACAAAAAATTAAAGAATAAATTCATAATTTGTCTCACACAATACGTATACATTGTACCCGATATTGGTGACTACTATAATCATGGATTAAGTATTATAAAAATACCTCTACTTTTTAGTGGGGAAGAAGCCAAAAGAAGTTTTTTATATGGTTTTCATGCCTTCTAAATTTCCCAATTCACACAATTGAATTGTCTAAATGTTTTTGTTACATTTGTTCTTATGGTTTATCTTTAATTTTTTTCCATGTAAGATAGACCATTAGCCATTGCCCAAGCTTATAAGACATGAGATAAGCTCATAGAAACACACGGGAGTTGGTTGATGACATAATAAGCCATCACTTGTAGACATAAATGGGAAAGGCTTGTTCACAAAAGAAACTGATGAGGCACTCATGAAGGGTCAAAAATATGTTCATGCAATAAAATGGTGGCACACTTATTTTTCAGAAAAAAAAAAAAA